GGCTCCTTGCTGTCTCCTTGCTCACACAGCAAATACTCTTTCAGTTTTCAAACAGCCCTCAACTCTCACACACTGACGGGATGCTAGCCAGATGAATACCGATGGATGCTGGTAGGCAGAAGCACAAATCCCCACCCCCCTTATTTTCCTCCCCCAAAACTAAGCCCGATTACATAGTTCCGTAGCGAAGCAAGGGCATCAAGCTAGTTAGATGATATTTCTTAGCGAAGGAGATAGATCTAGCCCTCGATGTACGACCACAATTGAGCCCAACACTTCTGTTGCTAAGTGAAACATTTTTTCCCTGAATATCACCGCATTTTACCATCTTTCTTGCCACGGTGGTTAAGCGGATCGCTGTGTGTCTTGGTCATTAAGTGAATCCGGCTTCCCCATTGACTTGGCTTGTCAGAAGATCGCCAAAGGGGATCACATGTCCTCGGGACAACAGCCATAATGGCCATAAATACGGGTCAAGTTGCCAAGCATCCGAATTTTGATCCAATGGCCGTGGGGAAGTTGCAACGGTGGTGTGGAAAATGGTCATTTAAGTCATTTTTCCTTGGTAACTTTGAACGGTCACTAAGTCGAGGATAAAGGACCTCGGGCAGGGAATTCTGCCTAAACAAATTCCTTGTATGTCCAGTCACACATGGCCAACAAAGAATTCTATTCATTCTATTCTGTATTCGATTTTGTTCTTCTGGAATCTAGTCTAGTCTCATCTGTTCTATTCATTGTCTCCTAATTCTGCTCTAATTCTACACTTATTCTGTTCTGTTTTAGTCTAGTCTAATCTAGTCTACTTTTCATTCTGTTCTGTTCTATTCTAATCTAATTCTATTCTAATTCTTATTCTATTAAGAAAATTAAAATATCACAAAGTCACAAGTTCCAGGAAGGAGCAGGACAGAATGGCAACGGAAGGACAGAGCCCTATTTCCTGTAGGTCTCCAAACTTGGCCATTTTAAGACTTGTGGACTTCAACTCCCAGAATTCTCCAGACAGCATGGCTGACTGGGGCATTCTGGGAGTCGAAGTCCACATGCTTTCAACTTGGAGAAACTAGTTTTGGGGGGCAGGGAGAAATCCATCTTTCGATTTTTGCACATGATGGGAACCAAGAAGTGTAGGCTGGTGCATGGGAATTGTAGTCCTGCCTCCGGAAGAGGGAGAGAGCGGATCATTAAACTTCAGAATCCAATTCATAACTTTGCTCCGCAGCATCTCTTCTTCTCACACTTCGCCCCCCCCGTCTTCCGTATGTAGATGGTCCCTCCCGTCTTCTGGCACACGCAACTTCTTCCCCCCCGTACGCCGATGGTCTTTCCCACTTCCCACCGCCCTCCTCCTCCCCGAGCGCGCAGGCGCGGCGTAGCCTCCCGCTCCATACTTGGCGATGCCCGGCGAGCGGCCTTCTGATTGGCTCGGGGTGGCTCGAAAGGGGGAGGGGGGGTTAGTAACAATGGGCGGGGCTCCTCTTCACACTGTGTGTGCGCGCGCGCGCGCGCTGTCTGACCCGGATGTGCAACTGCTAGGCAACGGCGGAAGTGGCGAAAAAAAAAAAAAAGGGAAAGGAAAGGAGAGGAGGAGGAGGAGGAGGAGGCGGCGGAGGCGGCGGAGGAGGCGGAGGAGGAGGGCGGCCTGCGGCCTGGCTCAGAGCTCGGAGAGGCCGGACGGAGGGACCCGGAGTCGCTGCCGTCGCCGTTTCCGCTCCTGGTGCTGAAGAGGGCTCGGCCCCACCAGAGGCATCATGGTGAGGGGAGAAGCCGCGGGTCTCGGGGCTGTCAAGGCCCGCGGGGTGGGGCGGGCGGGCGGGCGAGTGAGGAGGGAGCGTGAGGGGGAGAGGGCCGCCTCCGCCAGTAGGGGGCGCTTCCTCGCCTAAGGGGCGCCGGGGCGGGGCAGCCTGGGGACTACAAGCTCCATCCTCCCCAGCGCGTGTGTGTGAGAGAGTCCTGCTGCATGTGGGGGGCGAGGAGGGCTGCCTTACTGGTCCCCAATCGGTGGCTTTACGGCTTCTGACCCAGAAATGGGGGTCCGGCTTAGCAGGAGAGTCCCTGCCCAGTGTGGGGTTCTTGGGGAGGGGGCTGTGGGGCCGGTGGTGCGGAAAGCGGGGACGGGGGCAGGGAATAAAGGGGAAGGACTTGAGGGGCGGCGGGGGAGGGCGACAAGGAAGGGAGCAGCCCCCCCACACACACACCTTTGCCCTGCCGAGGGTTTCAGTCGAAGCTCCCGCCTTTTGTTTGCTGTGGCTGGGTTGACAGTTCAGGAGAGCCCTTAAAGAATGGGGGGAGGGGGTTGATTTAGGTCCTATGGAAACCCCTTCCCTTCCTTCCCCTCACCCAACCTCCCTCATATCATCTTCCTCCTTCCCTCCCTCCCTCTCTCATATCTTCCATCCATCCATCATCCTTCTCCCTCTCCTTCTTTTCCTCCCTGATATCTCTTTCCTTCCTTCTATCATCTCCCTCCCTCCCTCCCTCCATATCTTCTCTCTCTCTCCCTTCCTTCCATAGCCCTCCCTGTCTCCCTCCCTTTAGTTCTCCTTCCTTTCATATCTTCCCTCCCTCCAAATCTTCTCTCTCTCCCTTCCATCCATGTCTCTCCTTCCTTCCATATCTCTCCCTCCCTTTAGTTCTCCTTCCTTTCATATCTTCC